GTCATAAATTGTCTTGTAGATAGATAGAAATTACCATTACAATAATTATATATTTTCCTGCTAGACATGATACTGACAGCTCTGTCCTCTTGTTCCACCTTAATACAACCCATGGTGTACTGCTTCCCTCCCTTATCATATTTATGTACATCAACTCCACTGTAAAATATGTCTATACTTATAATATAAATGTAAAAACAATATATAAATAAAATAAATAAATAACGAAGTGATAATCGTGTTTACATTTTGCTATGTTCTTACTGGTGATCGAAAAGAAAGTAACGGAAAAAAGTAACAAATTTTGCTAGGAAAAAGTATCAGTGGTAGAATCGATTTACAGGAAAAAGTAACAGCATATACATGAAATAAACTATGAATAAAAACATATATACAAGGACTTTATTGATAAAATATACATTATTACATTATTCTAGTACAGTAGGTATGGCATCCTGAAGGTGGAGGCGGGGAGGCAGGTGTTCATAAACTGTTGTAGTAGTCGGGTCTTCAACTTATGAAGGTTTGGTTAGGTTAAGATAAGCTATGATATGATAGGCTAAGTTAAGTGGGTTTAGGTTAGGATAGGGTAGTAGGTTAGGTTTGGTTAGGTTAGGCCGGTTTAGGGCTGGAGAGGTTAGGTTAGGCCGCACAAAGAGGTATTAGGTAGTTTGAACTAAACCATCTATTTACTGTTGCTTTACTTCCTGTTACTTTTTAGCCGTTACTTTTTTCCTGATTCTTTTTCTGTTACCTTTTTTCCGTTACTTTTTCTCTCATGTTCCGTTTACTTCCTTGAGATAAACGTACTAAACCATCTATTTACTGTTGCTTTACTTCCTGTTACTTTTTAGCCGTTACTTTTTTCCTGATTCTTTTTCTGTTACCTTTTTTCCGTTACTTTTTCTCTCATGTTCCGTTTACTTCCTTGAGATAAACGTACAGTAGGGAACGAACTTGCAAACAGCTATCACAAAGAAGTTAGATTCCAGTTAGATTTTTAGGGCAGACCTAAGGAAAATTCCACTGAAGTACCAGATTTCAGAAGGGCAAACTTTGACAGTTTAAAGAGGTAGCTGAGAACATAAGAACATAAGAAAATAAGGAGTCTGCAATAGGCCGGTTGGTCTGTGCATGGCAGCTCCTGTCGAGAGTTACTACCACTCTCTATCATCCATGAATCTATCTAGCCTCCTTTTGAAACTTTCCAGAGTTCCCGCACTTACTGCAAAGTTGCTAAGCTTGTTCCACTCGTCCACCACCCTATTTGTGAACCAGTTTCTTCCAATCTCCCTCCTAAACCTAAACTTATCCAACTTGAATCCGTTGCTCCGAGTCCTATCCTGTTCGGATATTATAAGAACTTTATCTATATCCCCTTTATTGATTCCTTTCACCCACTTAAATACTTGTATCATATCTCCCCGCACTCTTCGTCTTTCTAGGGAATGCAAGTTAAGTTTCTTTAACCTATCCTGATATGGAAGGTTTCTAAGTCCCGGAATCATTTTTGTCATTCTTCTTTGCACCGACTCTAGTGAATTTATATCCATTCTATAATAGGGGCACCAGAACTGAACCGCATAATCGAGGTGCGGCCTGACTAGCGCAAGATATAGTTGCAATAATAGGGGGTGTCGCTCTTGGCCGTGAACCTGACAGATGACACCAACCTGATAACGAGATCTGAGACTGCCGAGTTCCACGACAATTTAAATAATGAGTTACTTAATGCACAAAGGCAGAACATACCATACAAAAAACTCAATCAGACAACAATGACCCTAAGTGGATACATAATTATTTAAAGAACATCATTGGCCAAAGGAAGGCTATAGGTAGAAGAATAAATCGTGGCGAAATTTGCCTCTGGGTATTGGCGAGTAGGGTTAAAACCGAGATAAGGAAAGCCAAGAGGAATAATGAGGTAAGGATAGCAAAGGAGGCGAAGACAAACCCCAAAGGATTCTACCAAATGTATCAAACTAAAACACGAGAAAAGATTGGACCAATACGGTCAGATACCGGCGAGCTCACTGATAACGACAGAGAAATGAGCAATAATTTGAATAAATATTTTTTAACAGTTTTCACCACCGAAAATTTAAACATGATACCTGGGGCACCGATTCTATACAGAGATAGTGAAGAAAACAAATTAAGCGAGATAGTAGTGACTAGTAACGATGTTAGTAACCAAATAGACAAACTAAAGCCTAATAAGTCACCTGGTCCCGATGAGATATTTGCCAGAGTATTAAAGGAATGTAAGGAAGAGCTTAGTATGCCCTCAGCAAAGTTGTTTAACATGTCCTTAAAAACAGGTGTAGTACCAGAATCCTGGAGGATAGCGAATGTAATACGGATTTTCCAGAAGGGGGATAGATCACTACCCTCTAACTACTGCCCAATCAGTCTAACATCAATAGTAGGCAAATTACTGGAAGCAATCATTTCAAACTCTATTCGAAATCACCTGGAGAAGCACAGATTGATCAATGATTCCCAGCATGGCTTCACAAGCGGTCGTTCATGTCTAACTAATCTATTAACATTCTTTTCATCAGTTTTCGAATCGTTGGACGAGGGGCACAATTATGATGTGGCATATCTCGACTTTAGGAAAGCCTTCGACAGAGTACCCCACGAAAGACTAATTAGAAAGGTAGAAGCACATGACATCAAAGGTAATATCCTTAAATGGATGAGGGCGTGGTTACAGGACAGGAAACAGTGAGCGAGCATTAATGGCACTAAGTCCCATTGGAGCAACGTCACAAGTGGAGTTCCCCAAGGCTCAGTACTTGGACCATTATTATTTATTATATACATAAACGACATAGATATCTGCATAGACAGCAACATAAGCAAATTTGCTGATGACACTAAAATAGGACGTGTTATTAAATCTGACGAGGACTCAGCAAAACTACAGGAAGATCTAAAAAAAAATTTTCGAATGGTCTGAAAAATGGCAGATGAAATTCAACGTGGACAAATGTAAAGTACTCAGTATAGGAGATGTAAACAGGGAAACCAGATACCAGATGAACAACGATGCCATAGAGAAATCTGACTGCGAGAGAGATTTAGGAGTAATGATAAGTAGGAATCTTAAGCCAAGTAAACAATGTGTTTTTGCTCGTAACAAGGCTAATAAAGTATTTGGGTTCATACAAAGGAGTGTTAGTTACAAGACTAGCGAGGTCATCCTAAAACTGTATCTTGCTCTTGTGAGACCACACCTGGATTACGCAGTTCAGTTCTGGTCACCGTATTACAGAATGGATATAGAATCCTAGGAAAGAATTCAGAGGAGAATGACAAGACTAATTCCGGTCATTAGGAACCTTGAGTATAGAGACAGGTTAAAGCATCTTAATTTGCACTCCCTTGAGAGACGTAGAGCGAGGGGCGACCTGATAGAGGTGTTTAAGTGGAAGGCAGGGCTAAACAAAGGGGACATTACAAAGGTACTCAAACTATCCAACCAGGAGCGAACTCGTAACAATGGTTTTAAATTAGACAAATTTAGATTTCGGCGTGAAATAGGTAAACACTGGTTTGGAAATAGAGTAGTGGACGAGTGGAACAAATTACCAAATATCATCATTAACTCGAATATGCTGAATAGCTTCAAACATAGGTTGGATGCTTATATGAGCAATAGGGGTTGGGTGTAAACCGGACTGCCCAGTATGGGCCAATAGGCCTGCTGCAGTTTCCTCCATTCTTATGCTCTTATATCAGGTGCCTACAAGAGAGCTCAGGTTCTCAACTGGCTCATCCATGTTAATATTATTATTATCCACTCTGTATCTGTGTTTTTCTGGCTAAATAAACTTTCAATATCAATTGCTGGCTTATGCGCCGAAGATCTCGTTCCTGTGAGGCAAAGAAATGCACAGTTAAACAGAGAGTACAGTCGACATCTCAACCAGGCTGCCACGTGGCTCCTGTTCTGTTCAGATAAACTCAGCTGAATTGTAACAATTGAATTGTAACAGTTTATTTAGCCAGAAAAATACGGATACAGAGTGGATAATAATAACAATATTAACATGGCTGAGCCAGTTGAGAACCTGAGCTCTCTTTGAGGCACCTGATATATACTGTACATTTATCTCAAGGAAGTATTATGAAACATTTAGTATCATCTGGAATAGTACAATAGCATGGTGGTAAGAAGTACATCTCATAGTGTTACCACGGTTATCACTTCAATATTTATTTATTTTATTATTTTTTATTTTTTTATTTATACATACTTATACACATACCTATGCATACAGTATATATATATATATATATATATATATATATATATATATATATATATATATATATATATATATATATATATATATATATATATACACACACTCATATATATATAAATTAGAGTGGAATTTAAAAACAAGTATAATGGGGGAGCAGTACAACCTGGGTTGTGCAGTAATAAGGTTGAACAAGAGGACAGAGCTTTCAGGATATGTCTAGTTGGCAATTATGTGTATTGCAATGGTAATTACTTATTTATTTACATGATAATTTCCGATAAAACGGATTTGGTGGTACAATAAAAGCAGGTACTGTAAATATAGTAAGTGTTACAAGAAATATTAATACTTCGACAATAGATATTTTTTTAGAGATGATTTAAAGGAAGGGAGCGTAGTCTTTGCTCGGATGAGTGGGGTTAAGTTGTTCCACACCTTCACACCATGATATTTTATGGAGGTCTGGGACTGAGAGGAGAGCATGGGGTGTGGTCTTAGTAGCTCTGGGTGCCTAAGTTGTATCTCTTGTTATAGTTTTTATTTTTCATATTTATTATTATTTAGTGATTTTAATGTCATTATTATTATTTTTATTATGATTATTATTATTAATTTGTATTATCATTATTATTATCAGTAACACAGAAAGAGATGGTGAAGGTTTAGACTAGAAAGAGAAAGAGAGAGAGTGAGTTAATGGAACGAAAAAAAATGAATTAGTTTGTTTTGTCATATTTATTCACAATAATTGGGTATATAATTGTGCTTTATCAAACAAGTTGAGTCAAGTCTTGGTATTGAAGGTGTTATCATTGGTTCACTGCCACACAAGACAGAGTTTCATACACAAGAGATAATACTAAAATAAAAGGTTATCTATATAAGTGACACATCACAAATAAAAAAAATCATTGTAGATAAGTAAATTTAGGATAAAGTTTCAGGATATCTTAAGGATTCCTGAATTAAATATAGAACTGACATAGATTCCTCCATTCTTGTGTTCATGATACAATATGTTGGCCATGCAAGTATCTTTTGTAGTCTTGGCCATACAGGGGTATTTTATGTTGGCCATACATGTGACTCTTATTGTGCTGGCCATACAGGTATCTCTTGTGCTGGCCATACTCTGAACTTACTTGCTACCACTACAATTACCAGGTCTCTCTCTTCATTTATCAATATTTCAAGATTTTTAAGATTTAATACAAAAGTTATTTACCATGATAGTTTAACACATTAAGGATGACACATAAAACACTTTGAGTCACGGAATATCACACTACAAGGAAGTCATTAATTAGGTAGGTGCCTTTAGGTTCAGTTTGGCTTGTGTTGACTCCGTTGTCCAGTGTGTGTGCCTGGTTGGGACTATCACCTTATTACACTTAATGTACTGAACACAAAACATAAGAATGGAAAAAAAACAAAATATTCACTTAATTAAATCTGAAACTATTAAGATATTTTTTTAGAATAACTTTCCATTATTGTTAAACTGGCCTTCATTATTGAGAGTACAGACGTCTTGTTTACACGTTCACACTCGAAGTCGAAGAGCGTTCTGATCACATGACTAATCGTTACAGTGTACACCAATCACAACTGGTTTCTCAATGTATTGGTTATTTTCTTACCAAGTCACTTTAAACATAGTCTTCACTTAACAGGTGTGATTATGTAGTGGGTATACCCTTACATTGTTCCGACATTTTTATTGGCAGTTGGTTTACCTGGATCAGACACGTTCATTACCTGAGTCATTCTGCATGTTAACTTCTGTATAATTGCGTCAATAAACTCGGGGCACTCGTCTAATGCCTGTCTAACAGCATCCAGCGTATGAGTGTTGCGGATGGCAGCAAGTGATGCCTGTCTTGGACTGCTGTTGTCGCTGTCGCTTCTTGCACAAAAGCTGGAGGTGTCTGATCTATCATCGTCCTTTATCACGGGATGAGGCCGCCGGGGACAATCGTGGTGCCAGACAGGTACTCCTTGCTGGCCACACCTCACACACTTCAGCCTGGCTTTAGCTCTCTTCTGTTGGGATTTACGAGCGCGACGGGACTTGGGTTTAGCCTCTTCCTCTGGGGGGGGTTGTGATTTCTGTGGGCAGCACCTTGTGTCGTGTTTCTCCGCGCACAGTCCGCACGTGGTTTCCCTCTTGCAGTACTTGGCCACGTGGTTCGTCCCATAACAGTTGTAGCATATGACAGCGGCGGAATAAAATGGTCTAATAGGACAAGGACTCTCTAAGAACTCCACGAAATTGAACGTATTAGGAGGTGGTTTATGTCCGTCCCACAAGATAATGATTCTGTTCATCGGAACACTAGCTTTGAGCATTCTTCTGGCCTTACACACACCAGGAAGATGGTAAGCCATGTCGAGGGGTAATTCCTTAGGGTAGTTGGTCACGAGGTATTCCTTTAGTTTAATATTCCGGCCGGGCGCATCACTTAAAATGAGGCGGAGACCATTAATCTTCCCGTCAGTAATGGCCTTGATGACTTCAGTGTCCTTGCGAGGAACATAGAAATAGCGGGAGGAGAATCTTATCTTGAACACGTCCTCTATGTTCGGGTATTTCTCATTGAAAGCCTTCAACCACAGGGCTTTTTCAGGTTCAGTTGTTTCTACGGGAAAAGCAAGACGAGTGAATTTATCTCGGGGGACAAGTGGGGGGCCCTTCTTCTTAGTGGTCGTCGGTCCATTACACACAACCCCGTCAGCGACTTCCACTGCTTCAGCCATGGTAGGAAGTGGTGGTGGTGGTGAACTTGTTATCCTGTTGTCGTCGGCCGGGTCAGACTGTTGTGAGAGAAATCAGGCCTTATAGATTGCGCCAGAGAGGTGGTGGCGGTGTCAACTATGTCCGTGGAAGAAGGGCATACGTGACGAGCAAATGTCGCCAAAGCCGTGGGACGGAGCGACACACAACAGAAACAATCACTTAGTAGTTCAGTCTGCCGTTAAAGATCACTAATATCACACTGATGTGGGATAGGAGAACGTCTTACTTGTTAGTTGAAGCGAGGACTCTGTTGACGTTGAAACCAACTTCTGGGGTGGGCGCCAAATCGTGTGTTTGTTTCTACGGTAGTGGTGGTACGGGAGTGAGGGTAGACCTTACGCACCTCTACCACAAGGGCGAGTGCGCGTAGACAACCCGGGGTTGGGTGGGGGGAGAGAGGGCTAGGCAGGGGACACACCAGTCGAGCCACGCTGCCGTCACTTGGTACGGAGTCGTCTACAAAACTACAGCTCCTTCCTCGCCAGTTGGGATGTAAGCTTCGTGATGACTGTAGCAGGAAGATGTACCAATATTCACGAACACACTGTGAGATTCCCGTCCCTCTAGCCTCAGTATATCCCACCAAAACAGAGGCTCAAACACGATACACTCTCTCCCCTGCTCCCAGCACCTACACGGCCCGTACACTGGGTGTGTGGAGGAGGACGGTGGGGTGGGGGGTCATGAGAGAGGGAGGGTAAGGGGAGAAAGAGAGTAATGATAAAGTGGCGGGAGACGAGGAAGAGGGATATAATAGTGATAAATGGGAGGAGAGGTTAAGACATTGAGCCATAGAGAATGGGTGAGGAAGAGAAAGAAAGAAAAAAACGGTGAATGAGAAAGGTGTGAGGGAGGAGAGAGAGAGGGAAGGAAAGATAGATATATAGACTGAGAGATATAGATAAATTAAAGATTAACAAAACACACCTGTCCCCATACCTGACCCGGATTGCACTACCTGTCGCCATAATGAGCTGACCTAACTCTTCTTAATCTAGTTCACCTTCGTGTTAACCCAACTTTTACCAAGAATGTATTATTTTACTATTTTTATGGCGTTAGTAGACCAATTCTGTGTATTTATACCATTTAGATTGATTGAAATATTAACCTTACATAAGATGATTTGATAATTTACCTTAAAGTTATAGAAACATTTAATTTGAACTTCGTAGGTATTAATAAACTAAATAAAAATACGACTTTAGGTTAAGAGGGAGGGGAGGGAGGGAGGGAGGGGGACAGCATGTCTGTTCACTTGACTCCACCACCTCACTGCCCCGCCACGAGAGCTCGACTCGACAGTACCTCCTCTCCACCACTACACTCCTCCTCCTCCCTTCTCGCCTCCACTACACCCTCCCCCTCCTTCACCCCTCCTCCTTCACCCCCCTTTCTTCTCTGAATATCATATCACCTCTTATCAGCGGTACCAGATAATAGACAGTGTTAGTGTGTGTGTTAGTGTACTGATTAAGTGTGTTCACGCTCTCGTTTAGAGGTGAATAAGGGAGAGTAGATAGGAAGGGAGAACGGAAAACTGATAGCAAGGGAGGAGATAGGGAGGGAGAGATAGATAGGAGGGGAGGGAGGAGGAATGGCAGGAAAAGAGGGAGGGAAGGAGGGAGAGTGATAGGAAAGGAGGGAGGGAAGGGAAATCGATGCACCACCACGATAAACCCTGATCTAGGCATCACAATAAAGAATTAACAGTATTTTATTATGTTCATGCCCGGCTGGGCATGCCAGCTCAGTGTGTGTGTGTGTGAGAGGAAAAGCCTCCCAGTAGGCCAGCGGTCAAGCCCACCTCAGACCAAACGGCCATTCTCCTCCCGCTGCCTCCTCAGTATAGCGCTGTCATGTCCTCAGCCAGTGCCACGCTGCCAGACGTTGCCACAATAACAAACTCACATACTTGTACACCATTTCTAATCTGAATCTTAACCTCTTCTTTTCGCCATACCAAGCTGCTGTTCTTGGGAGTTAACTGCCCTTGTGTTCCTTAAAACCTTCAACCAAGACAGTGGGGCAACTGATATCCCGGCCCTCTATCTTGCCGGCATAGGGCACGTAAGACCTGACAACGCTATACTGTACACTGTCCTCGTCTACACACATAACTCGCGCCGAATTATCGTGCTTCAAATAAGCGACAAAAGATTGTTAACGAAAATAACAATCACAAACCAGAAGGCACCAGATAAGTCCACCAAACGGAAGCTGAGAGACACCATGTTCAAACACAATGTCAGAGCCCATAAGATAATAGAGACTAAAGATGGCTTTATCCTGCTCATGGATCATGCGCCTCTTTTCCCTAAGATGTGTAAACAATACAAGGGAAGGGCATTTAGACCCACTTTTGCCTCTTTTCTTTGAAGGCTCAAAGAACTGTTCTCTGCTTCTAAACGGATGAACAGGTGTATGAAAACTCTGACGAGGAAATAAAGGCAGAGCTCGAAAAAGAAAACACTTGGGCGGCTGTAAAAGCGACCAACGTGGGTCTCCTCGCATTCAGCCCTAGCATACCGTCCCACCAAATCCAACAGGAACAGTATCACCACACACGTACCTGCCTCAGGCGCTATCCCATTGAGGATCATGATAGTGTGAACTGTTCCAAATCCAGGGACTACAAGATTTGTTCCAAATACTCTTCTAGGACAAAGCCCCCCTAGGACAAAACCCCCCTAGAACAAAAGCCCCCCAGGAGAAATAATAAGACTACCTGCCTTGCGGGAACTTCTACAAACTTCTATCATACCACCACCCAGGCATACTAACAATGTTGGAAGAGGCCTCGCTGGCCTCATAACTGACAAAAAAGCCCAGCTAATAGGCCCAGACTTTCCCACGTTCTACAGTAGGAACTCGGCCACTACCCCAGACATAGCAGTATTAAACGACGGGTGCTTCCACAACTACCTCTTATAACCGTCTGAGAAAATCGCCTAAAAACGACCAACAGAATGAATTACAGACAATTTGGGTTCAGGAAAGGGAAGTTCACCTCAACAGCGGTAGCCCAGGCATATGAGAACACAGCCAGAGCCGCAGCGAGTGGCAACCAATGTAATCTAACTCTCTGGGATGTAGCAAAGGCGTTTGGCAAAATCTGGCATGAAGGTCTAAAATATAAGATCCTCCAACTCGGACTTCCTATCAAAATCGAAAAGCTGCTATGCAACTTTCTTGACGGCAGAAATGCCAGACTGAGGGTGGGACAACACACAGGAGAGACCTTCCCACTCATGAGCGGAGTCCCTCAGGGCAGTGTTCTCTCTCCCACCCTATATATCATCTACACAAGTGACACCCCGCCTCCTACCAGAATAGGAAACGAAGATATTGTGTATGCAGATAACATCACTCAAATAACAACACATTGAGGAAAATCACGTACACTACAGGTTGACAACACCAGACGGGAAATAGGATAAATAACTTTGAAAAAATAAGGAAAATTCAATCCAGTCTCCCCAAATTCACAGTGATACCCTTATGCAGAAGGAAAACCATCCATTAGTAACCAATAATACCCAGATAGAATGCAATAACAGAGGCACCCTCCTGGGCCTGCATATATCCACGACAGGTTACTCCCATCATGTCCACACCAGGAAGGAAACGGCAAGAAGAGAGCTGAGAAAACTATATCGCTTTAACGTGCTTCCTGAGAAAATACTCTGCCTAGTGACATCATTTATCATACCGATATTAACTTACCCAGCAGTACCTCTTCATATTGTGAGCACCACCCAATTATTAAATGTATAGGTGGTTCTAATGAAGCCCTGAGATTCGTCACAGGTGAAAGATACCCCTTCACCAGAACTACAGCTGAGATACAAAGAGACCTAAGAATAAAACCCATCAACCAGCAGCTGCACACCCTGGCCAGCAGAGTCTGGCAAAAGATAGAACGATCAGAGCAAGAACACCGACAACAACCATACATGATTCCCAAAAAATTACCAAATCTTAAAAGGTCCATTACCACCCCCGATCTATACGGCCAGGCAATAGACAACCTCCCTAGACCAGCATCCGCCAGTAGAGTCGGCGGAATATGAAATAAGGCCCTTAAAACACCCATATATGGGACAGGGTAGGATGTCTAGTGCCTGTACCGACAGACAATGACTAACCCGACACAACCCTAACACACTATTAGCTTAGCTAGGCGGTCAGCCCGCCCTCTCTTACCTCCTCCTAAATTTCTTCAATTTCCGAACTATAACTTCCTTCCCCCACCTCTAATCTTCTTTCACCCATCCTTTCTCTACACACACAAAAAACACCCATCACCCTCCCCCAGCACCCATCACCCTACCCCAGCACCCATCACCCTACCCCAGCACCCCCCATCAGTACCCATGCACCCTCACCCAGCACCCCCCCCACCCAACATCCTCCCCCAACACCCAGCCTCCCCCAGCACCCCCCCACCCAGCATCGTCTCCCAGCACCTCCCCCAGCACCTTCACCCAAGACCCCAAACTCTCAATAACCAAACGTGTTGTTGACTTTCCCTGATGTTTTTCAACCATTATTTAAAACCTTGTCATTGTGTACACCTGTGTCCTCCACCTGTGCACCTGAGCTTAATTAACTAACATTAACCTATCGAACATTTATCACCTGACCTTAATTAACTAACATTAACCGATCTAACTTTTATTACTAGAGACAGTCAGTTAGTCAGTCAGTCAGTATTAGATAACCACTCTAATCAACCAAACAGACAACCAACCAACCACCCCCCATTCAACCAATCATCCCTAAACAACCAATCCACCAACCGACCCCCCGTTCAACCAAACCAATCAACCAAACAACAAATCAAGTCACCATCCCGTCAACCAGGTGTGTAATGTATTCCTGTCGACCTCCTGTCAACCTTCCACCACCTGGGTTGACAGATGACAGACCTACACCAGGTATATTAATCAGCACGACCCTTACCTGTCAGGGTTCTCACCTCAGATATCCATAGGTCATTGGCGTTTAGGGTAGGGTGGGTAGGTCGAGGAATGTGTAGTGTAGATCGATGAATGTGTAGTGTAGGTCGAGGAATGTGTAGTGTAGATCGATGAATGTGTAGTGTAGGTCGAGGATTGTGTAGTGTAGGTCGAATGAATGTGTAGTGTAGGTCGAATGAATGTGTAATATAGGTCGAATGAATGTGTAGTGTAGGTCGAGGAATGCGGGAGAAGACTAACAGAAGGTGTGTGAGGGAGAGAGAGAGAGAGAGAGGATGTGCTTGGCCATGGCCCTCCTCTTGGCCATTATCCTCCTCACCGGACAATTAATTCACCACTGGACATCGCCGAGGCAAGACCGATGTGCTGTCCAATAGTGGGATGTGTAAATGACGTTTTGACCACGAGGAGGAGGAGGAAGAGGGTGAGAAGAGGGTGAGGGGGAAGAGGAGGATGAAGAAGAAGGAAGTCACTCGTGGCAGCTTGGGAAAGATTGTCGAAAAAACGTATTTAGACTGGATGGGATACCACACTCAACTACTGCCTTTATAGTTGAGGAAATGAAGGCGATACAGTACAATGCCTCCACGCTACCCCCTACACAAGTCTCCCTCTCCACTAACCTACACGTTCAGTAAAGTCCTTCAGCTATATATTCCCT